ACAATGGTCGTCCTCGGTGTTAATGTTCATCCGAGGGAAAGGTCGTGACGAATATCTCACTGGAGAGCTCTCACCACCTCCCATGAATGATCCAAATGCTCGGGCATGGAAAGTAGAGAACAATCTTGTTATGTTTTGGTTGGTGAACTCAATGACTACTGAGATTGGAGAAAATTTTCTCCTTTATGAGACTGCGCACGATATCTGGGTCGTAGCCCGTGAGTTCTACTCCACTCGTGATAATACTTCTGCCATCTTCGAAGTCGAGGTAAGTCTTCACGACCTGTACCAAGGAGAAAAGACAGTAACTCAATATTATAATTTTCTTACCCAAAAATGGCAGCAGCTTGACGCTTTTGAGGAACATGCTTGGAGCTGTCCCGAGGATGCCAGGAGATTCCGAAGCATCATGGAACAGAAACGAATATTCAAATTCCTCTTCGGACTGAACAAATATCTCGACGAGGTAAGAGGACGCATCCTTGGAACCAAACCTCTCCCGAACATCAGAGAGGTGTTCTCTGAGGTGCGACGCGAAGAAAGCAGGAAGAAGGTGATGATGGGTGAATCGCAACTTAGCCCTAACCTGCTGAAAGCAGTTCTCTCTCACTCGAGGCTGGTGTAGCTCTCACAAGTTGGGTGACTGAGCGGAAGGGACGACCATGTTGCTTTCTGTTTTTGGAAAGACCATGAGCAGGAGACTCATCGGGTCAATTTTGTCTCAATTGAGGAGGAATCAACTGCAGCCGTTCCTACTAAAAGTCCTCTATTAGTCCTGAACAGATCATCCTCCTCTAGAAAATGTTTTCTCCCAATATGGTTCTCGGTAATGCTTCCACAGCTCACAAAGGTAATTTTTCTGATTTCTCAACTTATTCTTCAAAAAGGGAATGTAGATTATTGACTCGGGTGCTTCCAACCATATGACTGGAGATATCTCACTATTTAAGAAATACAGTAAATATAGAGGTAAATTTTCAGTTAAAATTGCTGATGGCTCTAGTTCTCAAGTTGAAGGAATAACAATAATTGCACTGTCACCTAAGTTAATTTTATATTCTGTGCTATATGTTCCAAATTTGGATTGCAATCTCCTGTCAATAAGCAAATTATCATAGGACTTGAATTGTGTAGTCACATTTAACTTTAAACTATGTGAATTTCAGGACTTAAATTCAGGGAAGACGATTGGCAATGCTAGTATGGATTCTGGTCTTTATCTACTACAACCTGACAATTCTTCTCTTAGGAGACAAACTCATAATGTAGTATGTACTAATTCTGAATCTGTAAACAATTTAAATAGTTTTGCCCCATTATGTCATGGCATTACCGTTTAGGACATTCTAATTTCTTGTACTTGGAAAAGCTATTTCTTACTTTGTTTCAAAATAAAAATCCAATTTTCTTTCAGTGCGAAGTATGTCAACTGTCCAAACATATTCGAAATTTATTTTCCAATTCAGTTTACAAACTCACAAAACCTTTTTCATTAATTCATAGTGATGTATGGAGTCTCTCTTGGGTTACTAATATCATTGGAACAAAATGGATTGTATTTTTTGTTGATGACCACACTACAATCACTTGGATCTTTCTCATGAAAGAAAAATTTGAAGTTGGCTAAATTTTTCAAAAATTTGACACTATGATTCAAAATCAATTTTCTACTAAAATTCAAGTATTGAGATCAGACAACGGGTGTGAATATTTTGAAACCATTTTGAGTCAATATTTTTCTGACCACGGCATTATTCATCAAAGTTTCTGTGTTAATACCCCACAACAAAATGGCATAGCCGAACGAAAAAATAAACACTTTCTTGAAGTAGCTCGATCAATCATGTTCACTGTCCACATTTCAAAATTTCTTTGGGGAGAGGTTGTTCTCACCGCTGCATACTTGATAAACCGCATGTCCTCCCGAACTCTCGCATTTCGAACACCTTATGATACACTTTTAAAGGCCTTTCCACAATCTATATCCTTCATACCTTTCCCTACAAAGTTTTTGGTTGTTCAGCTTATGTCCATGTTCATACTCACCTTAGGGGTAAACTTGACCCAAGGGCCATTAAATGTGTTTTTGTTGGATATTTACCAAGTAAAAAAGGATACAAATATTTTTGTCTCAGGATCCATCGTTTCTACAACACTATGAATGTTACTTTTTTTGAAAATCAGTCATTCATCCCACTACTGATATTCAGGAGGACAATATTAATCAGAAATATCAAGTATGGGATGTAAGTACACCACCTCTCACCTCTCGTCCCCTCACTATTCCCGAGTTCTCATCAAATTTTTCTGAAAACAGTATCAAAGAGTTTGAATCTGAACCTGTACCTACTACTATAACCTGTACACCACCTCTCACCTCTCTTCTCCTTACTATTCCCGAGTCCTTATCAAATTTTCCTGAAACCAGTATCAAAGAGTCTGAACCTGAACCTATACCTACTACTATTAACAAAGAGTTACGTGTGTATATTAGGAGAAATAAAACTCCAGTTGATAAAGATTTTGAACCAACTACACATTGCCATGAGTCTATTTCAGTTCCAAGCAGTAAGGACATATCAAGTAATGAGTTTTCAGGCACAATTTCTGATACTGTTACCATTACTAACCATGATATTGAGTTACCTATTGCCTTGCGGAAAGGAACTCGATCTTGTACTAGACACCCTAGACAGGATTATGTTTCATTCAACAACTTGTCTTTAAAGTATTATTCATATGTAAGTAAGCTTGATGGCAGCTCCACTGAATCTAAAACAATTCATGAAGCCCTTGTACTACCAGAGTGGAGAGATGCTATTCAAGAAGAGATCAGATCTCTAGAAAAGAACAAGACTTGGGAATTGACAAAACTTCCACCTAGAAAACATAAAGTGGGGTGCAAATGGGTATTCACTATAAAACGCAATTCTGATGGAAGTGTGAATCGGTACAAATCTCGTCTAGTGGTTAAATATAACGGCCCCGAAAATTGAAAAGAAAATATATAATAATTTAAGTGCGGAAGCGAAATAAAAGGTTAAAGTTTACATTCCTTACACAATAACTTAAAAGTACTAAACAAACAGTTCGGAATGAATTCTTTAAAAGAAACACGAGAAATAAGAAAAGTAATGGAAAATAGAAAGTATCTAGCATCTACTCGTAATCTTCATGCGGATCGGGCTCTGGAATCAGGTCCTTTTGATCTGAAATGGTTAAATAAAGAATGAGTTACATTAGCCCAGTAAGGATATCACACTATATCACCCGCAAAGAAGCAAATGTTGGTATAAAATCAAAAACTACTAATGGAGCACTAAATTTAAACCAATACATTTATTATTAAAAATAAAACTATTTACCGTTCACTTACCATAGTGAAATTTATGAAAACAACCTATAGAGAAAATAATACCATATAGTTCATAACTTTATGAACAATCAGAACATAGAACATATCATAGATTAATATCCATTAACAATAAATCAAATCATAACTGTTTCTCATTTCACCAGCCTACTAGTATCCATGGGAGTTCATAGGGATGTCCCCGCTACACGTGAATCATTTCCTTTAACAATGTCAATTACAGGACCGTCTCCATACCCAGTCCGGTATGAGTGCCAAGACATTAAAGCTCAATACCCCGTTCGGTATGAGGGTGAAGCGGGCTGTCCCTATACCCTGTCTAGTATGAGTGTCAAATTATCAAGTCTCCATACCCCGTCCAGTATGAGACAACGTTCACGGTAGGGTTCCCCATGTACTCGGTTCGTCCACAATTTTCCAGGATATCTAGTAAGACTACCATTCCATCTGTTTATTTGATCACACCCCTTTCTTGTTCTCCTTTAGTCTTCATTACCAAATCAAACATAATCACATAAACATGCATATGAAAATGCAATCATGTCTCAAATCCCAAATCAAACAATGGTCAGATAAGACAGTAATACATGCATTTAAACCATAAAATAGATAAATCAAATACTATCATGTTTTTAGACTAAAATAAATTAACAGAGAACATTGTCCGGTTCGGGCTCCATTAGCAATCCGTAATTAGTTGTGCACATCTATTTAATTTGTATAAAATACTGTATTATTATTTATTTAAACTTCAATTCTATGATAAGGAATAGGGTGAGGGGTTCTTATTCGATTTGATGCCGAAAAGCTAAACGGTTTACTGCTCCTATATGCAATCCCTGAGTTCATTGAATTTTTCTCTGGGAACTGAAATGCACTTATAATACTTACAAATATTCCAAATAAACCCAAAATCAGTCCCAGGGCTTGCTCGACCAATTTTGGAAATCCGACACGGTGGTTCCGCAGTGCTCCGGCGACGGTACCGTCGCCCGCGGCGGTGGTTCGCCTTGAGTCGGCCATTTTTGGCCGAATTCGGCCGATTTTGTATCGATTCCTACTAGCACACATGCTAAAGGGCCTCGGTGGGCCCAAAAAGACACGAAAAACAGAAACTCACCAACGGCTGGGCTCTCCGGTGTGGCGGCTCCTCCGGCTCACATTGCGGTTGGGTGTTTCGCTTCGGTCAACCTGTAGAGAAGAAAACAGTGAAAAAATTACGCGAAATGGGAATCGGGAAGGGCCTCATTGGAGGCGGTTTGTGAAATTTCCTGCGGCGGCAGTGCCCGGGCTTCGTCGGCTTTTTCGATCAATTGGTCGGTTCTTTTACTCCGATTTGGCCATGGGTGGGTTAAAAATTGAATTTCGTGCAAAAAGAAATTTTTACCTTTTTTGGCGGTCGGAAAGGGTTCCGGTGCGGCGGCGTGTGGCGGCGGTCGGCTCGGCGGCAGTCGGCTCGGCCGCTTGGTTGTCTTCTCCGGCGAAGTGTTCTGGCGGCTAGGGTTAGGGTTTGGGTGCGGAAGAGGTTATTTATACTCATCTGCTTTTGATTTGGGCCGTCTATCGCGTTTGATCTGAACTGTCCGATCGCGATTAAATAAGGAGTAAATCTGGGCCGTTCATCGCGATCCAATCTGAGCCGTCCGTGCGCGATTCACTCAGGTCCGTCCGTGCGCGCGGGAACGGACCTCAGTATTTAGCATAAGCGCACTCCGATCACCCACGTGGCATCCCGTGTCAACATTTCTGCCACTTGGTGCGTCCTGGTTGGTCGGGGCTGCTGACCGGACGTTTGACGTGGCAAATTTTTTCTAAATTGTATTTTGACCATTGTATATTTTGGTTTTTAACAAAAACACTCCCTGAATCCAATTTTTTCAAAATTATTTTCAATTTAATCATTAATAAATTTTATCTTTTTTTTTTTCATTAAATTAGAATAAAATAAAATATAATAAAATAAATAAATAAATAAATAAATAAATAATTATATTTACTTATAAAAAATGAAAAAAAAAAGTTTTGGTGGGTGTTACATTGAAGGCTTCACTCAGTTCTATGGGATAGACTATCAGATGACATTCGCCCCAGTGGGTAAGTATAACACTATTTGGGTATTACTCTCTCTTGTTTCTAATCTTGATTGGTTTTTCTATCAACTTGATGTAAATAATGCATTTTTCATTGGTGATTTGGAAGAAGAGGTATACATGGAAGTCCCTCTGGGCCTTGAGATCACATATGAATCTCACAAGGTGTGCAAACTCAGAAAGATACTCTATAGTTTAAAACAATCTTCGAGAGTTTAGTTTGACAGATTTACCAAACCAGTCAAACATATGGGGTATGAACAGTGTCAGTCTGATCATACTTTGTTTGTCAAGAATAGTGCCTCTGGTAAGAAAGCGATCCTGATTGTTTATGTTGATAATATTATTTTAACAGGTGATAACATAAAGAAAATTTAGAAACTCAAAACTTTTTTTGCCATAGAGTTTGAGATAAAAGATCTTGGAGCATTCAGGTATTTTCTGTGAATAGAATTTGCTTGATTTAAAAAGGGAATATATGCGTCACAACAGAAATATGTTCTTGACCTGCTGAAAGAAACAGGGATGTTTGGGTGTAAACCAACAGAAACACCAATGGAAACGATTACAAAAATTGAATTTAAAACCAATGGCAAGCCAGTTGATAAAGAAAGATATCATAAACTTGTGGGCAAACTTATTTATCTCGCTCATACTAGATCTGACATCAGTTTTGCTGTAAGTACTGCAAGTCAATTCATGAACCAACCTACTAATGATCATATGAATATAGTATATCGGATCCTAAGATATCTTAAGAAAACTCCAGAACAAAGATTATTTTTTTAGAAAACAATGAACAAGAATATTGAAATCTATACAGATGCAGATTGGGCGGGTTCTGTAACTGACAGAAAATCTACATCTGGGTACTGTACTTATGTTTGGGGAAACTTAGTCACTTGGCGGAGTAAAAAACAATCTGTTGTGTCACGAAGTAGTGCAGAAGCTGAACTTCGGTCACTTGCTCATGGAATATGTTAGGAGGTTTGGTTAAAAAAGATTCTAATGGAAATAAAATTCTTGGTTATTACTCCCATGAAAGTATGGTGCGACAATTAATCAACAATCAGTATAGCTAAAACTTCTGTACATCATGATCGAACTAAACACGTGGAGATAGATAGGCACTTCATCAGAGAGAAGATTGAAGATCAAACCATTATAATACTCCATGTTCCTAGTAGTCAACAAAGTGCAGATATTTTAACAAAAGCACTTATCAAAAGACACTTCAACGAATTGATATTCAATCTAGGCTTACTCAACATTTACGTAATCTAGATTGAGGGGAGTATAGAAATATTAGGAATAAGTTATATTTATTGTTACTGCTTTCTGTTTTTGTCAGACAACCAGGCACCGTAATAGAATGCTAGCTGTCATTTGCTAGGGAAAGTTAATTTGTTTTTTCCCTTCTGTTTTGTCTATAAAATGAGACACTGATAATTGATGTAATAAGATGAAAAAATAAGTTTTTCCTACTCTCAAAATCTTCACAAGTCTCTTTCTGCTTTTTGCTGGCCTAATTTTGGGATTTTTTTGCTTTCATGTATTTTCGTAAATGATTGTTTACGTGTTTGAACACTCTCTGATATTTTGCTCTCAATATGTAATGCTTTATAT